TTAAAGCTGCAACACGCTCACCAGTAAACAAGTAATAAAAAAAGGTTTTGGTGGGGGTATATGATCCCGAAAATGCAGTTTGAGATATGCAGAGCACAAGAGTCCTGTCTCTGTTTTCATCACTGTTTGCAGGTGGAGGATAACGGACCAACCGCATTCGCTGGAAGATTTTTTCCAGGTACTGTGCTTCCCGTCAAAGCTGTTGAGGTCCCTCATATACACGGAAGGTGGTGTATCCTGCGGTGTCAGTGCGTCGACACCACAGTGAGATGGGTCTGTCACTCTCAGCTTGTCACATATGATCACGCAAATGATGCATTTAATTTTTGAATTCTGAAGATAGGGGTCATTTTTAACACACAACACTGACGCAGAACGGCACTGACACAAAACATGATCTTATCAAGACATGACCAAAAAGTCTCTTGATGTGTCGGGATGAGAATGAATTAGATCTAGAGGCAGAAGCAAAGCTAGTGCTGTAACACTACTACTACTATTACTACTAACATAACTTTATAAGAGGCCAGCTAACCAGTGGCCCCAAACTGCACCTGATAGGATACATACTTGAATATTTGTTATCCTGAGTTCAAACTGTGTTTCTGTCATTGTGGAAAATGGAGAAAAACCCCAGAATGATCCCATAAAGCCAAATTTTATTCACAATGGAACATAGAAAACATTGAAAATATTTAAACTGACAAAGTGTACCATTATAAGAAAAAAAAATCTGATTATTCTGAATTTAATGGCAGCAACACACATCAGCATCCCCTCTCCTTTTAAAAACAGTCCAATTCCGGGAAAAGGAAAACCAGCTGCTGGATTTCTTGGGGAGGAATTTTGGAGTTTAGAATTCTAACTGCTCAGCAGTCCTGGGTTTTCTTTGTCATATTCTTCATGTCATAATGCTCCAAATGTTTTCAGTTGATAAAACGTCTCGACTGCAAGGAGACTAGTTCAACAGCTGAACTCTTCTAAACTTGCTGTTGGAATTGATGCAATATGCCGTTTAGCATTGTCTTGCTGAAATATGCAAGGTCTTCCCTGGAAAGGA